CTCTCTCTCTCTCTCTCTCTCTCCCACTCTCTCTTAATTACCATACCGCAAAGGTCCAGGAAATGAGGCAGACACTTCTCCTTCATGTTTCCCTCAATCGGGGCCAGTTCTAAAAGCAAAAATCATGCATATTAATTTCCAATCTTCTACCGTACCCTTCTGCGTCAATTGTCCATTCTCGTCGCCGTCCCATTGCTCGAACATCCAGGCCACATCCGGCCGGCACGCGATCTTGTGCTCTGAAAATTACCGAATTCGATGAACGATTTTTACGAGACTTGGAAGACTATTTTTGGTCTTTTACCTATGTCATTACGCTATGTAATTGCTGTGTTCCAGCCCTCTTCGCCACCCTAATCCCCTTCCGGTCATGTGAGCGTGGATTGGAGATGCGATACGGGGCAGATTTTATCATACTATTAACGTGAGGACCTCCAGGGAGGATTATCATTCCTCTAAGGAGCTCTGCTAGCTTGCCCCCAGAAATTTGCTCCGCTTTTCTGCAAACATCCTTCCGTCAGGTCCAAATTTTCAAAAAAGCTTTGCTCGCTCGCCTTCTAAACGTTACTAGCAATTTTGCCAGTAGGGAGCTTTGGCATTATCGGGGGTGGGTGTTTTCTCGAAGCGCCTTTTCCTATAACGGTTCACATCCCCAGATCAAAATCTCGTGATTGGCCGAGTTCGGCGAGGTTTTCTCTGCAAGCGTTTCAGGGTTTGGAAAGTGCGTGGATAGGAATATCTTGTAGCGGCATCTCATCCACCACCACCCCGGATTTCTCGCACAAAATGAGGGTCGAGGGGAGGGAGGAGGAGCAAGAGGAGGAGGATCGGCCTCTTTTCCCTTCACATAAAAGACAGAGAGACCGACAGGCGGAGGCAGACTGTCCAATCGATCAACGACCCTCAACCCTCAGGGGCCGCAAACCGTATGCAGTAGAATCGCGAAATCCCCTCATTCCGCTTCTTTTCCCCTTTAAAGGGCTCTACAAGGCTTGCTATGGAAATTTTGGTTATGGACTTTTTAAGACTTCTGATATTTTGTATATCGACTTCGCATGAATTTTTCGGCGCCGTGACACGCAACGCGTCTCGCGGACCACCTTCAGGTTCCTTTAAAGGAACCGTCAAGGCATGACTAGACATTTTTCGGCTATGGATCCCTTAAGACTTCTACGCGACGCGCATCGCGATACGCAACGCGCATCTGATTTGAAAGCGGCAAAATTTGCTTACGAGTGTGTTGCGTTGCTGTCTTTTTCCAGCCATCAAAACTAAAGTATTTCCGGGGCTTAGAGCAAATCTGTAAAATTTAACTGGACAAAAATCCGTTTCGAAACTTGGATGTAAAAAATTTTAAAGGTACAATAATTCTGTATTCACGCACTAATGGAATTGTGGGGTAATCGACACCTGCATTTTCCCAGGCTCATCCCAATCCTCCTCCCCGGGGGGTCGGACCATCCATTAGCGCCAAATTAATTCCGCTTTCCGCTTCTTCCCAAGGCCGGCCAGCCGGATCTCTCTCTCTCTCTCTCTCTCTCTCTCTCTCTCTCTCTCTCTCTCTTTCTCCACCTCCTTTTTATGCGAACGTGTTTTTCTTTTCCTGCCCCCTTGTCTTTTCCATTCCACTCCCCCTCACGAATCGGTACTACCCCTACTATTACTCCTCAATGCTACCTACATTTGCAAGCTTTTCTTCGATGTTTTGGCGTCACTCCTTCCACTGCTATAGGCAGTTTCTGCATCTTATTTATTTTGGGCGGCAATTTCAAAATTGCCATTTTTCGCTGGCCACGCTGTGCACTTACCCTGGTAATGCGAGCACGAGGGGGGACGGCCCCCTGTTTTCTCGAGGATTTTCGCGCCAAAAATACACGTAGCCCCCCCTCCTGGATCTTGATCCTAATCTCATCGCAGTGGCCCTGTAGAACGGATTTCATCTAGCGACTGCGAACAGCGCGCCAAATTTTTTGAAAATGAGCTGAGATTTGGGGATTTTGGGTTGCAGGAATGTGGTTAGCTTGTTTTCTCTCACCCTCTGTGCCTGTATTTCGCTCTGTCTTTCTCTCTCTCTCTCTCGCTCTCTCTGTTTCTCTAGCTTCTCTTGCTATTTAGTTAAGTCTAGCGATTTTTATGTCTCTCTCACTCTTTCTCTCTCTCTCAATCTCCCGCTCTCTCGCTCTCGCCCTATCTTTCGCTCTTTCTCCCTCTCTCTCTCTCTCTCTCTCTCTCTCTCTCTCGTTAGTATATTTTTTTCCACTTTCCTTACAACCCAAATTCTCTCCGCCGATTCCTCAATAACTTCTGCTAGCTTTCCCGCCCTTGGATTGACTTAGCGGCTCTCCAAAAACCTCTACTAGCCTCCTGGAGTCATTCAAATTCGGTTTCACACATTTCTATCGTTTCCCAATCTTAGATTCCACCCAACTCCTAAATACGTTCATTTCTGACGTCAATCTAGCGGTGGTATTCCTTTGTGTTGCCTTGCCTGCTGGGTGATTCACTGTCCCCCGTTGTGGCTACCACCGCAGCCCGGGCACGAAATTTGCATTTTCGCACGAGCGAACAGGTTGGATTCTGTGGTCCATTTGATTCTTATGTACTAGGCAGGGATGGACAGAGTCGTCAGGTGGTTTCCGAGTTTTAGCTTTAAAAATATTTTTATTAGGTATTCTACAGCGATTCCGCCAAGGTTTCTGCTAGTCTGCCTTGAACTGGGCTAGCGTTTCTCCTAGACTAGCTGAAGGTTCCTTCAACAATCGCTGCTAGCTTGCCATAATAAAAAATATTTGTACCTCTTGATTTGTCAATGATCCCTGCTGGCTTGCCTGATTCCTAAATGATCTCTGCTGGCTTGCTTAGGCTTTGAACCAGTTAAAATCCCCCAAATAATTACTGCGAGCCTGTTTTTCCTCAATTATCTCTGCAAGGTGGCTAGGATCCAAAATTCTTTCCCCTGGATTGCTAAACCATCTCTGCTGGTTCGCCACGACAAAAAATCTTTCGTTCGGGCTCGAATCCTGAAGAATTTTTGCTAGCTTGCTGCAAAGAAACGACTCATTCGGTTTCCGCAAAGAATCCTGTCTGAGCAGACTGTCTGATCAAAGGGCTTCCGCCAGCCAGCCTTACTTCCGCTTTGGAAAAGTATAAGTGCGAAAGGAACACTTTATTTTAAAGGGCCAGCGAAGTCAAAATGTTGAACAATCCATCAAGTCACTTGTACCAATTAAATAATAACAAATTCGATACTTGAAATACCCTAAATCCTAGATGACCTTCGGACAAGTTTTGTCTATGTCAATCTTGTCCACACTCCCTCCCTTTTGACTGTACATTTCCCTCCCTCATCCCGAGACTCCAGGCTGCCGACGGTTTCTCCCCTCTCCCTCGATTTTCTATGGATCGTTGACAGCCAGCAATCCCGAAATGGACCCATCTCTGCCTCATGATACCACATCATCCTCACGCAAATACGTGGCTTTTTTGGCTAGAATGTTTGAAAAAGCCTTTATACCAAAACCGTCGACAAGTTCCACCAGAATCTCTGCTAACCTGTTCGCACCTTTTCCTGAAAAATCTCAGATTTACTCATTAAGTTCTCAAAGGATCTCTGCTAAACTGCCGTATTCCGGCAATTCCTAAAGAATCTCTGCTACCTAGCCCCACTCTTTAGCTTCATAAACGACCTCTTCTGGTGACCCTAAAATTCCCCAAAGCACCACTGCTAGCTTCCCCAAAAAAAACTCTGCTAAGATGCCTTGCAGTAATTTTCTCTCAGAAACAAAAATTCTCAAAAATCCTCCGCTATCGTTTTACCCTTCAAATTCCTAAACAATCTCTGCTAGAATGCCCTCACTGAGCTTCCGGAAGGTCCTCAGCTAGACGCCCATACCCTACAAATCCTAAGGAACCTCTGCTAGCATGCTTAGCGCTTAAAGCCCCAAAATGATCTCTGCTAGCCTGCCTTGTGGCTCAAAATTTTCGAACTATTTCTGCTGGCCAGATTTAATTCCGCAATCCCTGAAGACTAGTTTTCCAATTTTGATGAAACGTCGGAACAGCAAAATCGGAGTTTTCAAAATCTTGGTCTATTTTCTATTATTTTCTTTATATATTTTTGAATGATGTGTGTGCAGCATTTGCCGTCCCTCCCCACAATGCCCTTTCATTTTTATCGCCTTCAAAATCGGGCGCCCCTCCTTTTATTGACGCGGCGGCTTGTTTTCCACCTTCAAAACCATTCCCATTCACGATTATGAAAAATTAGAGATTAATTTAAAATATATTAAGACTGAATTTGTCTCACCTCTCTCTCTCACCGTCTCTTTCTCGCCTTCTCTCTCTCTCTCTCGCTCTCTCTCTCTCTCTCTCTCTCTCTCTCTCTCTTTCTCTCCCGCTCTCTCTTCCTAAACGTTCTTGGGCCATTAGGGATTCCAATTTACATGGCGTAATCTATTTATTGGGGTGGAGAGGAGCGTAGAACCGGGGAGCTCCACCCCTTGCTGAGGAGCAGCTCGATCCACCTGACCCCGAATGGAGGCTCAATAACCTGGATTTCGAGCAGGAATTCTTTGTGAGGACTGTATCGCTTGCTCTCTCTCGCTCTCTCTCACGCTCTCTCTCTATCTCGATCTCTCTCACTCTCTCTCTCGCTCTCTTTCGCTCTCTCACCCTCTAATTCCTGAAATCATTTCAGATGCACCAAGACCAATTGGCCAACGGGTTCGCCGGCGCCATATTCTTCTTCATTTTCCTGTACTTTTTGGCAAGGTGAGCCCTAGCTCTCAAAGAACTTGGCTAGCTTGCTCTAGTAGCTCCATGAAAACGGTATGAAGCACTATACGAGCAGCACTATGCAGTACGTAATCGGCGCTCGAATTCAGATATATGCGAAAATTCGGCGGTACCCCTTCGGAGCCTCCCGTACTGCCCGTCCACTTTCCGCCTGTTCATCAACCGCCCCCGTACCCTGTCCAACAATTACCTCATCTGGCGCCGTATTCAAATCACACGCCCTCCACGGCCCCGCCAAGTTATGAGGTGAATTTTTGGGATTTGACGATGTGGGACGAAAGGGAGTTTACGGGACAAAAATTAAACTGTTGAAGCGTTCTCTCTCTCGCTCTCTCTCGCTCTCTTTCGCTCTCTCTCTGTCTCTCTATTTATCTATCTATCTACAACTAGCTCTCTCACGGCAATGTCGAAAGAAAGCCATCAAAATCCATCGAAAATCCTTGCCGATCCCTTGAAAGACACCGAAAAGCCTCCAAAATCTCTGAAAAATCAATAACACTATTTTTAGGAAGCCGTCCGACTCGGGAAACCGCTGGACGTGAAACGATATTGAAGCGGGATATGCATATTGTGATATTTGTTCTTCTATACCGTATTTTTCCCCGACCTTGAAACCCTTTTAAAACCCGTGAAACTGACTTTTCAATGAGACGTCCCTTCCCTCGCCATGGACACGGTGCATATCGCTGAACCACTGGACAAGTCGGCCACCGATCGAGTCGAGCTCCCCTCGGGTGCAGGCTGCAAAGGGTTGTTGAACTTTGTAGTCTGTAGTCTTTGTAGTTTGTAGTATACAGATTGTGTTAAATTTCTTGTTCTCTCTCGCTCTCTCTCGCTCTCTTTCTCTCTCCCTCTCTCTCTCTCTCTCTCTCTCTCTCTCTCTCTCTCTTAAATTCCTAGCCTTCTTATCCCCCCAAAACCCCACAAAATGCGGTGTTGATTTCAAATGCGGGTAGCCCCTTGCTAATAAATGCGATATTTTTATATTATTGTTTTTATTGATAAATTTTTGCATTGAATTTTTCGATTTTAAAAAACATGGAATTTTGTACGCAAAGTCGCGCCAATATCTCTACGTAAATGATCTGTGCTAGTTTGCCAAGCCCAAATGGAATTTTCTAAACGGTCTCTGCCAGATTGCCCACTGGCAAAGTCTCCAATAATCTCGGCTAAAGCCTGCTCCTAAATGATCTTTGCTAGCCTTCGTAGATGATGTGATGTTGATGTTCTCAAATCCATGCTAACTTGCCCATACCAAGAAAATTTTCCGCAAAAAATTTCTGCTGGATCCCATTGAAAATTTGAATTTGCAAATGGTCTCCGCAACATCCGAAGGCTACCGTATCCGCAGATTTCTCGACACTACCGTAATCCCGGATGAGTCATTTGTACACAAACGTTCTCAAAAACCCACAGTGCTTCTCGTGTTTCTCGTGCTTGGCCGTCTCGGTGAGCAGATCGTGCTGAAAGGGATTCAAGATTTATGGGGTACGGTACCCCAAAGGGGGCATCAAATAAAATCCAGGGCTCAAGCCGTAAATCAGGCCGGTAAGGAGCGGTGAATTGAGACCGATGTGCCGCCAAAGGGGTCGGTCTCCATTTGCCCACCGGTAGGTGGAAGGCTATGTAGGATTGTGAAAAGTTTCAACATTTCCGGAAAAGCAAAAAATCATTATTTTTGTACGGATAATACGGCTTTTTTCAAATTGCCGAAAATCTTGATGTCGAAATTTCCGACTGTCGAAATTCCATAATACCGAAATTCAGAACGCCGAAATTTTCCTAGGCGAGTTTTCCTGAAAACTCTCCCGAATCCCATGCAAAAAAAAGAATTATGCAGACCCGTCTACACACCGGGTTCTTTTACATTATCGGGGGGGGTATCAGGGGTCTTGCACTTTTCTTAGTGTTTTTCACCCATTTTTAAGATCTCGGTGGATGCAGGGGTCTAAACTGTTAAGACAAATTTTTAACCTAAAACTTTACCAATCTTTCTAAAAAAGATATTTCGACGAACAAGGCCGATTTTCGACCGAAAATTCGAATTTTGAAAATCGCTACAATATTTTTCGATAGTTGCCAATTTAAATATAAGGAAATTTTACTAACAACACTCGTAGGTTACTAAGCGTTGCTGCTCCTCTTTAAAAATTACGTTTACCCCGTAAAAGCGACACCCACCAATGCGAAAGCACCTGACCATGATAAATGCAAATATTTTTCGAAAATTACCTGATGCTTCTTGCGCAACAGCTCGTCATCGGTGCCGTGCTCAACGAATTTGTGCTTTCCGAGCTTTTCGCTAAAAATTGGATAATTTGGATGCCTTAAAGGGATAGAAAATAGTTATCACACTTTCTCTCTCTCCCTCTCTCTCTCTCTCTGCTCTCTCTCTCTCTCTCTCTCGCTAAAGACGAAAACCTACCGAGCAACATCCCGCTTGACGCAAATTGCCTTTCCGACGGCCAAAAAGCACACCGAGCCCTCTTTGCAGCCACGCGCCGCGCAGAGATCATCTGGGAAAGGGCCCTAAATTCTACTAAACGGATGACTGACTGCTCTGATAGGCGGAGGGATGGTAGACGTGCACGGTGTGAGAGCCCGTCATTCCGAACACAGCGCCCACCCCCAGGGCCAGGAAGAGGAGAGACGGGTGCATCTCCTTAATGCTTCGATGGAAACGAAACGAAGGAAAGCGAGAGGTGCGAGCAAGAGATGGCAAGCGAGAGAGAGATAGAGAGAGAGAGAGAGAGTGAGAGAGAGTAGGGTGAGAGGCCTAAAGTGGTAGAACTAGCGAGAGATAACGAGGTGAGAGACAGCTGGAAAAATCAATCCGAAGCTTTAGTTCAGCATTAAAACCCTAACTTAAATGTGACTCATTAGCCCCAGATCGCCCGATTGGAGTGCGACTCCGGATCGATTCCGGGATTGGCTGAGATTTGTGGTGTAACAGAGGCCTAGCTGGCCCCAGAGACAGAGGCCAGCTCGCTCTTCCTGCAGCATGGCCCCCAGCTGCCCCGTTTCTTATGCTCTGAGAACGAGATGGACCAGCCGGCCCTTCGAGCGACAGCCCAAATGTGTAAACTATCGCAACTCCTAGTGGTATATTAGTGGAAATGGCTTGAAATCATGAACCTTCCTTAGGGGATACCTTTAAATCCCTAGCTCGCAGCGACTTTTCCAGTCATGTCTGGCCTGATTGAAGAGAGAGAGAGAGAGAGAGAGAGAGAGAGAGAGAGAGAGAGAGAGAGAAAGAGAGAGAGAAGGCGAGAGAGATGGAACAATCATGTGAGAGAGATAGTCACATTGAAAGTAAGAGAAAGGTAGATAGATAGACTTCGAGAGAAAGAGAGAGAGAGAGAGAGCATGCGAGAGAGAGAGAGAGAGAGAGCGAGAGAGCGTGAGAGAGAGAGCGTGAGCGAGAATGAGTGAGAGAGATAAAGAAAGATGGAGACAAAAAGATATAGAACATGCGAGAGAGAGAGAGAGAGCGAAAGAAATAGAGCGAGAGAGAGCGGCAGAGTGAGACTGAGAATGCGAGAGAGATAGAGAGAGATAGACAGGGCGTTAGAGAGAGTGTGAAAGAGACAGAGAGAGACAGAAACCCAAGCCGAGTTTTTGATAACCCCCAACTCGAATATCTCCATAAATCTCCAGCCTTGCCAGTTCCTTACATCTCCAGCCATGAGCATCGTTTTAGCCAAGCGGAAAATCCTCAAAATCTTGAGCACCTCAGAAAGCAATTTGGCTAAAAGCCTCCAGATTCGCCTCTATAGTCATCAAATCTTCAAGAGATTTCGCGAGGTCCCTAGACGACGCTGGGTTAAGCCGACAAATACCCGGATTACCGTAGTCCCCTCGGCGGGTCCCGGAGCGGGAATGGAGGGATAATTATGGGTGCCTACCAGCATGTGTCATACCTCAGCCGCCCTCCTCGGCTATAACCCACTATATTGTGCTCGATTGCCTCTTCCGGGCTTACCGTCCAGAAGATTGGCCGGATCGCCGGATTGTGGCCGGATCAGCCACAAAATTTTTGTGGACCCATAATTCGCTCTGGGAGCCCGGGGGGTTACGGTAGGCGGGACAAAACCGCGGCTTTCGCCGGGCCGCCCTACCATTTTCTTCATTTTCTAGACGTTCCAAGGATGGCTACGGTAGCTCTAATTTTTAACTAAAAGGATCGTATTTAAATGTCGACATATCAACCACTTTTGCAGCATTTTCATTGGACCAGATTCTAGAAAAATCAATCATCAAAAAAAAATTTGTAGTTTGGTATTTTTGTGGTAGGCCAATGATAACGATAACCAAATATTAGTGGAGTACGAAACCTAGCTTATTCGATCGTATCGTAGCGGAGTTACGCAGAGTATTGACATATGTTAGACGATAGTAGCGTTGCGTAGCGTAACGTATTGTAGCGTATCGTCACGCATGGCAGCGTCGCGTAGCGTCCCGTAGCGTTCCTGGGCGTACCCTAGCGTACCATAGCGTTCCGTAACGTGACGTAGCGCATCATAGCCTAAATGACGCATGAGAGCGTGCCATAGAGCCCGCAGAGTACATTAGCGTACGATAGCGTACTCCAAAGTATCGTAGAGTACTGTGGCGTAGTGTAATTTCTTTTTCATTGCGCGTTCTGATTTTTCAAACTATAGAGTTGTTTTATTTCGATTTTGTAGGGGATGGTGGCCCGGATTGGCGTGAAGATGAAGCCGGCGGCTGTTCTCACTTGGCTTCTACTTCTGGCCGCGCCATTGAGGGCCGATCAGGAGGAGACTGACAGATTGGACTCGTTTCTCGATACGGTTAGTGAATTCAGGCGATGAGCAAGCTGGCAGGGGTTCTTGAGGAACTAGACAGCAAGCTGGCAAAGATTCTTGGGGAACTAGATGGCAAGCTCGCAGGGTTTTGAGGAACGAAAAGGGCAGGCTAGCTGAGATTCCCTGAGAAAAATGGAGAGCGCAAGCTAGCACCGTTGATTTGACGAATTTGGATAGGGCACGCTAGCAGAGATTCTTTGAGGAATTGGGTGAGGGCAGGCCATCAGAGATTCTTTGAGGAATTGGAAGAGGGCAGGCTGGCAGAGATTCTTTGAGGAATTAACCGGCATGCCAGCAAATATTGAGAATCCAAAAACAACCAGATAAATAATTTTCCATTACTTAAATCCTTAAGGTAAATCGGAAAATGGACTCATCTACCGTAACTTCGATTTATTCCGACAAAGAAGGAGCCGGGCAAGAGCTTGTCGACAAAAATGGTTTGTGAAAGGCATCGGAAACATGGCAATTTTTGACAGGCCGCATCCGAATCCGTGTCGGCCACATCGGAGCCCTGAACGCGCTTCGAAATGATGAGGTCGTGCTGTCTGCCTCCCGAAAATCCCTTCACCAAGAAGGGATTCTTGATGATGATTTCGACATTGAGTACGCGAGGCTACAAACTACGGACTATGCTCCTTTTCTAGGCTCGTCTCACAAAACGGCTGCGGAGAATCGTACGAGGGAGTCGCCGTCGCCGCCGATATGTACCATTTACAGGTTGGAAAAACATCAGCGAGCCTTCAAAACTCTTCAATACCTACCTTTTCTAATTGCAGAAAGTGAAAGCCTTCATCGGCCCGTACTGTGCCGCGGAAATTGATGCGGTCGCCCGGATGGCTTCGTTCTGGAATATCCCAATCATCGGATACATGGCCGCTTCAGCCTCGTTGGCTGATAAGAATCAATACCGTACCCTGGCTCGGGTCTCGATGCGATCCACCTCTTCCATTGCCGAAGCGACATGTGCCCTGCTGCGTCATTATCAATGGAATCGGGTGAGCAGAGTAAAGCAGCAGCTTAAGGTTAAGCCTAAGCTATGCCTAAGCTAAGCCTGAGCTAAGCAGCTAAGCCTAAGCTAAGCCTAGGTCGGACTTTGAAGTGTCTAAATGAAGTCACTGCATCCGGTTGCGTCGCGGCTCCCAGCTCCCAATCGAATTCTCTCTCAGGTAGCCCTTGTGACAAACGTGGGAGCCGTTGCGTACGAGCGAGCAACAGCCTTCGAAGAAGTGTTCCGCCAGCGTGGTGTACAGGTCGTCAAGAAGGTCGGCTCTTGCCTTCGATGGCCCTTTAAGCTGCAAAATTTTAGGTAATGTTCGACGAGAGTGCAAAGGCAAAGGATATGTACAACAGCGGACTGCTACAGGACATCAGCAACACGGCGAGGAGTGCGTTTTTTGAGGGGTTAAAGGGACAGGGTGGTGAGCAGGCTAGACGAGGTCATTTGGCAATACTCACTTAATACAGCTAGCTTGCCTTCGCAGAAATCCGCCTTGAAGCCTGCTTTGCTAGCCTGCTTTGAGGCGAGCTGATGCTCCTTGGCTAAAATTTCCTGAAAAATCTCTGCTAGCCGGCCCGCTGGTCAGAAATCCCAAAAAACCCCTGCTAGCCTGCCTTGAAACTTCTTTTCATAGTTTATATTAGCAAAAATTTCCGCAAAATCTTCTGCTAGCCTGCCATAAAGCTTCTTGATCCCCAATGGTAACGCTTGTTTTTTGCGTCGAAAATTCCTGAAAAATCCCTCCTAGCTTGCCTTTCGAGCTCATATTTCCCAAGGAATCTCTGCTAGCTGGCCTTTGCGAAAACCCCAAAGAATTCCGCCGAATCTGCTTTGAATCGAGCTGATGCACATTGGCTAAAACGTCCTCAAAAATCTCTGCTAGCTTGCCTGCTTCGTCCGAAATCCCAAATAATCCCCGCTAGCCCGCTCCAATTCCAGTAATCATCATGGTGTTCTCAAACACGCGCGAGCAATCCCGCGAATTCATGACGGCAGCTACGACAGCTGGTATGGGGATGAACGAATTTGCCTATATCCTCCCCTGGCTACAGGTGTGTTTTGTAGTCCGTAGTCTGTAGTCTATCGCCATTTTCAGACGGTAAGGGCCCATTCCATTCGCCTTTAAAATACGGTATTCCCCAGAGGATCGAGTTGCCGTGGTAAGATTCAGATATCTCGGATGGATGCGGTCAGGGAATGGTGTGAGTTGTTTTCTATTTCGTGTCTGGGGATGAGAGACAGATTTTGTGATATAGGATGGATCGAAGGATACGTCGCCGTGGACGGGGGCTGATGGAGAGATGCTGCAGAATGTCAAGGATCAATATGCTAATGCGATTATTGTGGGTCGCTGGGAGAGCGAGAGGGAGAGAGAGAGTGAGAGAGAGGGGAGAGAGAGAGGAGAGAGAGAAGGAGAGAGAAGGAGAGAGCGAGGGAGTGAGAGTGACTGAGAGCCAGTGAGCGCGTGAGCTGGCCATAGAAAGAGGAAGTGAGAGATTGAGCAATAGAGAGAGAGCGAGAGAGAGACAGAGAAAGAGAGAGAGTGAGGGAGAGCGGGGAGAGAGGAGAGAGATGGTCTACCGCCATAATTTTCCGGTATTTTTCGCACAAAATTCCAAACTTTTCACATCTTTTCTTACCTCATCTTGTCGGCATTTTTTGAGTATTCGGTGTGTCGGCGTTTTTTTTGCTTTCATTTTGATCGGTCGGCATTCTAATTTGTCGGTATTTGGAAGGGTTGGGTTCCGAATCCTCGGGCTCATGCCATCGACAACCTTCCTCTACTCTGGCTTATGAGATTAATCAGTGCAGTTTCTCCTGTCGGCATTCTTCAGGGGGTTGGGTTTTGATCTGTCGGTATTATACGATACATTCTATTAAGCTTATCAATCCAGCACTTTTGTCGGTATTGTCGGCATTTTGTCGGCATTTAATGAATTCCTCTGAAAACCACCGGAATTAATTTCTTTCCTCCAGATCGACGACGTGAACGGGTTCGACAACTCGATCGTTGGCCCGTTCCTGGAAAAGGTGAAGGATGTGGGGCTGAAGCAGCAGGATGTCGATCTGGTAATACATTAATTGACAGCTAAAATACAGTATGATTCAGGCAAACGTCTACGGGTACCTGTATCTATTCGACGCGCTCAAGCTGTACGCCATGGCGGCGAGGGCCCTGTTGAATGAGACCGGCAATCCGGATTCGCTGCTTGATGGGCGGGCCATTTGGAACAAAATGAGACGCCGCACATTTTTGGGTGGGTTTTAAAGGGACTGGAAAGTTGGTGTCACACTACCTTTGAAAGTTGCAAGCTGTTAAAGAACCCGTTAGCAATTAGGCAGGCTAGCAGCAACCATTTGCGGAAAAGTTAAGACAAAAACCCGTTCAGGAATGGTCGGCACGTCCGGAATCGCGTCTGGAAAAGTGACAATGGACGATCGGGGTGAGCGCGCGCCGCTATACCGTGGTTTCTTCATCTCGCCCAGCCAGGATCAGGTAAGGCCCGTGTTTTAAAGGTACTTGGAAGGCAAAGCCATAGCCTAAACTAAGTTTTTGATCCTTGAAAAGCGGAGAATACAGTAACGGATCCAACCACTAACCTCCGAAGCGTTAATGCCGACATAATACCGATTATGGCAATCCTGATTACCGCCGGCAAAATGCCGACAAACACAACCCCGCATTTTCGACAGGCTAAAATTTTTGACGTCCCCCACGCTTTCGGTATTCGCGTCATTTTTGTCGGCATTCAGCATTCGTAAACTAGACTTGTCGGTATTTTTCGAAACCCCTGACATTTGGGTTTCGGCATTATGCCGATTACATCAAGCTGTCGATTGTCGATATTTTGCTGGCCGGCGATATTGGCTGTCGGCATTATTGTAATCGAGCTGTCTGCATTTTAGCTATTATTCTAAAACCAAAAGCTAGTGTCGAGATTTTTCTAGTCGATACTTTACACTGTCGTGAATAGTGCAATCGAGGTGTCGGCATTTTGGTTTAGGGAATTCCAAGCAAATGGCCTTTTCCGCCTCTTGTAGATGATTTTAAGCATATTTCAAGGGACCTTGAAATGCAAAAAAATCGACACTCGGACGTTCGACATTCTGAATTTCGAAACTGTGAAATTTCGACCTGATATTTCGCTATTATGAAATTTCGAAATTACGAAATTTCGCCATTTTTCTTTTTCTTTTCATTTTCGACATTAGGATATCCATTCCCCTAGAAATACCTTCAATGTTTAGGTAATGCCAATGGTTCACATGGAGCCGACGTTCCTCGACAACTGCGACTATCTGATCAACGGCACCGGATGCTATGAAGTGGTCGGTTTTTAGGGGTGCAAAAATCGACATTGAATCGATAATGAATTGAATTGAATCGATATGCCGAAAATCGATAAGCCCGACGCCTTTTAGGTGGTCACCGACATGATGAAGAACTTCTGGCCGAGCGTTGATAATCAAATGCCCAGGGAGGAGCCGGTGTGCGGATATCGCGGCGAGCGATGCGATTATACCCTCATTATCATTGGTAAATAGCGGTCGTATCTACCGTATCCCGACGGTTTTGGGACCCAATTTTGCGCTGATTTCCGAATCTGTCATTAGTTTCATGCTAGAATGTCTTGATTTCAAGATATGAGCATTCTGTAGTGATCTACCAGTATTTCAGGGATTTAAAACATTTTAGCTCCAAAACGATAGCTTTGTTTTTAAAAATAATTACAAATTTGAAATCAGCCCAAAAATTGCCCAATTTTGAAGTTTGGCACGAAAATTGGACAAATTGGCTTAAAACTATAAAATCGTTTCTATCTGGTAAATGGTGGCTCAAATTTCGTAACTAATGTCAAATTCGTGAACAGCACAAAAAACTGGTCTAGGCGGTTAAACTTTAAACCAAAATGAACCTCAGGCTCGATCCTGGTGCTGTTGCTGATCATCTCCATCGTGACGGCATACATCCTGCACGATGTTTGGTACGTTTAGAGGCGTTGTGCCAGCTGGGCAGTTTTAAAAACCCTTTTAAAGCTCTCGAAATCCCTCATTTTCAGCGAAAAACGCGCGCTAAACCGGATGGCGTTCCGTATTTTCCGCGACGATCTGCAGCTGATTGATGAGGATCAAGTGAAGAGTATGGTACGGTAATAGTTGCGGCTTTTAAAGGGACCGAGACAGTAAAAAGCGGAAAACAGACTCATTCAATTTTTGAAATTCGATATGGCCTATTGGTAAAGCTGTCGCCTACCAGGTGAAGGGCCCGGGATCCACCCCCGGCCGCGGCAAACCTTTTTGCTTTTTGGCCTAGAAGCTGGGCAGGGGCTTACCTACCGTTTTTCCACGGTATTTTTCAATTTTTCAGCTATCCCTGGGGAGCACGAGGACCAAACTGAGCAACATGCAGTACAGCTCGCAGAAGAACCACGCAATCCTCGGCACGAATACGCATTGCGTATACCATAAGTATGTAAAATTGCTGTGCGTCTAAAAACGCCGACAACTCGAAAAATGTCGAGCGGGGAAATACCGACACTCAAAAGTTCGATCATAGTGAAACAAATGTTACTGGGGAAATGCCGACAATCATAAGTCCGAAGACATAACCCCGACAGCTGGAAATACCAACAAAATAGAGACTATAGTATGTCGAATCACTTAAAGAAATCCCGACAAAATAACCCCGATTTTTTGACAGGCTAAACTTTCAGTTGTCGGCATTCTCGCTTCGATTGTAAAATGGACTTATCGGTGTTGTTTGTGACCCCCATATTTCGAGTGTCGGCATTATACCGACCCTACCGATCGGTCGATTCTCGATATTTTCTGGTCGATACTTTAGTTTGCCGCGTTTAGTGTAATCCAGTTGTCGGTACTTTAACCTTCGGCCTTTTAAGTGTCGGTATTTTCAGCTTCTCAACCCCTTTAGATGATTTTACGCGTTTTTTTCCAGATACGTCCAGCGGCGTCCGATCGTGTTCAGCCGTTTCGACAAGGGGCTGCTGTCCTCAGTACGTTTAATTCGAAGCTTTTCGCAAAATAGATTAAAGTGCAAATTACCTGATCTAAATTTACCTGATTAATGTAGATGAAACAATCGGTGCACGACAACATCAACACGTTCCTCGGCATCTCGTTCAACGAAAAGGAGGAGGTGCTGCTCGTGTGGAAATTCTGCTCCAGGTGAGATTCGGCTCCCTAACTACCGGTTTTTAAAGGGCCGCTGAACGGAACGGAAAGAAATCGATTAAAATTAAATTTTACATTTAATTAAACTAAGACAAGCTAAATTAAAAATTAAGATTAAAATTCAAACTTGAATTAAAATTAATTTAGCTAAAATTGATTCAAACAGATTTTACAGAATTGAAGCAAAGTAAGATCCCATTTCAATAAACTTATTTTATTTTAGTATTTATTTCTAATTTTTACTTCCAAGTTTTAAAGGAGCAGTCAAAACAAAATTATGAATTTTGCCTGCGATCATAGGCCATGAGAGGACCGACGCGTTGCGAGTCGCAGTCCCAGGAAAATTCATAGAAAATCCGCACCCTGTCGATCCCTTCAAGGGCTACGCGTTGCTCCAAAATTCCCCCAAAACCTGCTGGTAACCTTATACAAATCAGGGGCTCACTGCAAGACATCATCTACAACGACTCGATCACGCTCGACGCAAAATTCCACGGGGCCTTCGTACGGGATATTATCACGGTAGGTATTTTAACGTGAAAAAATCTTTTTAATTGGTTATTTGTTAGTAATTTTTGTAAAAGGGTTAACCAAAAAGTGATTTATCGATTTTTCTAGGGTCTCGAATACCTGCACGCGTCGACAATCGGCTATCACGGCTCGTTGACCCCCTGGGCGTGCCTTATCGATCGTAATTGGATGGTGAAATTGACGGATTACGGTAGGGGATCCGCGGATTAGGAGGGAATATTCTGAATTCAGGGGTGGCCGAGCCGCTGGAGAGATGGGAAAAGTCACAGGTGCTGTCGAAGGACGATTTCAAGGATACGGAGGAGAAGGAGGATAGAAGTCAGGCAACACAGAAAAACATGTAAGGAGGAGGGAGAGAGAGGGAGAGAGAGAGAGAGAGAGAGAGAGAGAGAGAGAGGGAGAGAGAGGGAGAGATGGAGAGAGAAAGCTACAGATTTCCAAAATTCCAGCCGCCCTCTACGACTCGCCGGAAATGCTTAAAATGCGCCAAAAGAATAAAGAACGACGAATGGATCAGGATTGGACCCGTCAATCACAGGTTTTTGGAAAGATCCGTTTAAAAATCTGTTTTTAGGCCCGCCGCCAACTCGGCGACATCTACGCGTTCGGGATGGTGTTCTACGAGATCATGTTCCGCGCGTTGCCCTATCCCGAGAATACCGACATTAATGGTAGGGGGTTGCGTACTCCTAATAATATATGCTAGTAGAGACCATTGGGGAGGGCTAGCAGAGGCCGTTGGGGAGCGCTTTGGGGATCCTGGTGGCACCACCTCTTTCCCCTTTAAAGTTAGAATTTGTTGATTTCCAGCCCTCGTCGACCAGATCACCAGCGGAGAGCGCATCGTCAAGCCGGGAATTCAGAATGAGAAGGTACACAAAAGGGTTTTAAAGGAGCTGTGAAGCCAAGGATCCACAAGACCATTTGATCTCTTCCGATTTCTAAAAAATCTCTTTTCAGGTGTTGCACTACGACTTGTCGAACCTAATCACCGATTGCTGGAATAACACACCGGAGATGAGACCGTCGGTCCGGAGGATCAAGCTCAACATTGAGACCTATCTGAAAGTGTGAGTGAGCTACGGTAGTGGTGCGCTTTTTTAGAAAAGGGCGATTAGCAGAAACTTTAGGACATGTGCTAAAAATTACTACAAGTCCCGTCCTGAACCCAGAGCTAAGTCAAGCCTGAGTCTAGTCTAAGCTAGCCGGTATCCTATAACAGTTAATGACGTTTTCTCAAACCCCCTATTTTTAGCAAAGGCTCCCTAGTCGACCAAATGATGCGAATGATGGAGCAGGTATCAAGAAACTGTCTGTTTGCTAAAATCCACCCTTTCTACAGTACGCCAACAACCTGGAGAAGCTGGTCCAGGAACGGACTGGGATGTTGGAGGAGGCAAATGCCCGTGCTGATCGTCTCCTGTCACAGCTTTTGCCGGCGTAAGGATTTTTAGTAGTGAAATCGAATCGGTGGATATCAGGTACGTTGCTAATGAGCTGAAGCTTGGACGTCCCGTTCCGCCAAAGACCTTCTCGCAGTCGACGGTCATGTTCAGGTAAGTCATAAATGCATTGCTTTAGTGCATAGCTAGCAAGAAAGCCAACCCTAAGCCAAGCTTATGAAGCCTTTCTGAAGCTAAGGCTAAGCCTAAGCGACTCCTAAGCCAAGCGTAATCGAGCCTAAGCGAAGCCTAATTGTTAGCCAAGCCTAAACAAGCTTAAGCTAGACCTAAGCTAAGCCTAAGCTAAGCCTAAGCTAAGCCTAAGCCAAGCCTAAGCTAAGCCTAAGCCAAGCCTAAGCCAAGCCTAAGCTAAGCCTAAGCCAAGCCTAAGCTAAGCTTACTTCCGCGCCAAAGCCACGCCCATCACCTTTTTCCAGTGACATTGTCGGTTTCACGGAAATGTGCCGTAACGGCAGCCCCCTCGAAGTGGTCACCGTCCTCAACTCGATCTTCAGCGGTTTCGACGAGTTCATCGCTCGCCGTGAAGCTTATAAGGTACGGTGGAACTTGCTACGGTAGATGAGTCAATATTTAGGTGGAAACGATTGGTGATGCGTACATGGTGGTTTCTGGAGTGCCGGAGGAAAACGGATTCCGACACATCCGAGAGATTGCCACAATTGCATTGGATATTCACAAGGTGAATTGCGATCACCAAAATTGTCTATTAATACTGACAGATGGCCAGTTGTTGGCCGGCCAGCAGAGATTTTTGACGAAATATTTGGAGCCTAGGTCAGATATCGTGAACTAGCAGGGTTTTTGGGGGATTTTGACACTGGGGCAACTAGCAAGGATTTTTGAGGAAAGTGAAAAAATCAAGGAAGCTAGCGGAGATCCTTGAGGTCTCTAAAATATAGGCCATCTAGCACGGATTCTTAAGGAATTGTTCCAAGATTGGCCAGCCAGCTGTGCAGATTCAGGGATTTTCAGGGCCTAAGCTAACTAGCAGGGTTTTTCGGGGAATTTCAGAATCAGGCAAGCTAGCAGAAACCATTTGCCTTCCAGTTCCTCGCCGAATACTGCCCACCCCATCACGAAGACATGCGGGTACGGTGTCGACTCGGATTCGCGACGGGACCCGTTGCCGCGGCCGTTGTCGGCCTGAATGCGCCTCGCTATTGCCTATTTGGAGATACGGTAGGCAGGGCAACATTTTGAAAATCGGAAAAATTCAGGTGAATATGGCTTCGCGGATGGAGAGTACCGGAGAACCGGAAAAGACACAGATTTCTGAAGCGGCCAAAACCATGCTGGCCAACCATTATCCCGAATTTGAATGTATCGAGCGGGGACAAGTCGCGATTAAGGTATCGTAATGCATCGTAATTTACCGTATTCCATCGTAGCATACTGTAGTTTGGCCCATCCTACCGTAGTCTACGCTATTTTGCATTTTGTGATATGGCTTAAAATACCACAACCTATCGTAACAGACAATTAACACTATTTTAATTTAATCAGCCGTAATATTTCGTATCGTAGTGTAGCGTATCGTGGCGTAGTCTGCCGTACCATATCGAAGCGAACCGTAACCTACCGTGATACGCAGCCTATCTTGGTCTACGGTAATATCTCGCAGCCTACGGTAAATTGGGGTGACGCGTATCCCATCGTAGTCTACCGTAGCGTATCGTAATTTTCTACATTCTACAGATCCTACCGTACTCAAGAATCCATAAAAACTCGCTTTTTAGGGCAAGGGAATGTGCACGACGTACTGGCTGGAGAGCACGAAGGACACGCTGCAAGGCCTCTACAGGTACCATTAATGTGCAAAATGGTTACGGATTTTGCCTTGTAAATCCCTTTAAAAGGCAGTAATCCATAGGAAAGCCATCGCCTTGCCGGCTCCTTTAAAATGCGTGCCAAGCTAATGTAAACTTCTCTAAAATTTTGAAATTTGCAGGGCGCCGACGGAACGCGTCTCCGACAAGCCGTCCTCCTCCCAATTCGGCGCCTTCCTCGGACTCTCCAAGAACAATTTACAGAAGAAATAATTGCATTGTATACCGTACATTTACCGTACTTTATATTTAAATAATTTAAATTTATTTAATAGCCCAAATCGTTGTAAATAAATTGATCTTACCACGATGAATCCAGCCCCGGTCATGCATTTTATTAGCATTTTTTTAGGTTTTAGTTTCCCTATTTTTGTATATTTCTTTGACACAATCTATGCTTTATTATTCGACTATTTATGTTAGAACCGACATACCCAATAAAGATGCCCTGGTTGTATAAATCGTACACTACTTCAAAGAATCTCTGCTAGTTTGCCCTCAACGACGAGATGAGCCATAATTTTTCTAGACCGGCCGAGACTATTGGGGAGGGCGAGCAAAAACCATTAGGGAGGGCTAGCAGAGACCATTGAGGAGGGCGAGCAGAGACCATTGGGGAGGGCCAGCAGAGACCATTGGGGAGGGCTAGCAGAGACCATTGGGGAGGGCTAGCAGAGACCATTGGGGAGGGCTAGCAGAGACCATTGGGGAGGGCTAGCAGAGACCATTGAGGAGGGCTAGCAGAGACCATTGAGGAGGGCGAGCAGAGACCATTGGGGAGGGCTAGCAGAGACCATTGAGGAGGGCTAGCAGAGACCAATGAGAGGGCGAGCAGAGACCATTGGGAGGGGCCAGTAGAGACCACTGGGAGGGCCAGCAGAGACCATCTGGGGAGAGGCTAGCAGAAACCATTGGGGAGGGGCTAGCAGAGAGACCATTGGGGAGGGCCAGCAGAGACCATTTGGGAGGGCTAGCAGAGACCATTGGGGAGGGCTAGCAGAGACCATTGGGGAGGCCAGCAGAGACCATTGGGGAGGGCCAGCAGAGACCATTGGGGAAGGCTAGTAGAGACCATTGGGGAGGGCCAGCAAGTAGACCATTGGGGAGGGCTAGCAGAGACCATTGGGGAGGGCCAGCAGAGACCATTGGGGAGGGCTAGCAGAGACCATTGGGGAGGGCTAGCAGAGACCATTGGGGAGGGCCAGCAGAGACCATTGGGGAGGGCTAGCAGAGACCATTGAGGAGGGCTAGCAGAGACCATTGGGGAGGGCCAGCAGAGAACATTGAGGAGGGCGAGCAGAAACCATTAGGGAGAGCTAGCAGAGACCATTGAGGATGGTTCGCTTTCTGCATTCCAGGTTTTTTCACTCACGCCGAAGCTTTCCGATACTCTTGACATTAATAGTCATCCTGATGCCGTTCCAATCCCAATGCCACCCGTAGGTGCTGTAGTCCAGCGGAATCTCGGATTTCCGACGCTGACTAATACTGAAAATCGGCCAAGGTTTTGTCATCACCCGTCGGGACGGCAATTTCGGATATTCCGGCTGATCCCCCGGCTCGGGATTACGGTAGCCCAGGGCGCGCCTAATAGCGGATTGTGGCCGCGGGGGCTTAATGCCAGGATTCTCATCCCCCATCTCCTGATTGGTCCACGCATTCGGGGTGGGGTACGGTAGTCTGGGGGATTATAGGGGTCCGGGCGGACACTTCCTTGCCGTGTAGATTCCACCGTCGCGCTAGCATTCTACAATGTTTTAAAGAATTTTTAAGTTTTGTCAATGTATTTTTGCTATGGCATGCTGTAGTCAGTTTTTAAATGTCAAAAAAGCTTAAATTTGATCGATTTTTTAGGTATTTACCGCCAGAATGCTTGGCCTATTCCTCCTCCTATTTACGGTCCCTCATGCGGTTGCGCTCAAGGTGGGTAAAGTACGCTAGGGTACGAACGATACTAGGGTGTACTCCTGCGTACCGTAGCGCACGGCAGATTACCGTAGGGTACGCTAAGCCGCGTTAGAATACGGTAGAGTACGCTAAGCTACGCTGGAATACGGTGGAGTGCAAAATTACAGATCATTGCGGAACACTACTGCGGGCCGTAGCGTAGGGAAGTTACGGTCGAGTACACCATACTACGCTAGCATACCGTAGAGCAGGCTAGAGTACGCTAGGTTACGCCCGGATATCCCAGAATACTGTGGAAGCCAAGCTATATTTTTGCTGAATACGAGCTTCGATGCCGTATACGGTAGCATACGCTAGAGCACTTTGAACTACGTGAGCGTACGCAACAATACGTTAGGTTAATATGGTATTGGCAGTAGTTTAGACAGACTATGCAAGAATACGAAGCAGTGCAGTGCCGAATGGAAATACTGAAATTACGAGAGCATACGCCAGAGTACGGCACAAAAATTAATTTTTCAGGTAAAAATTGGACACATCGGCGCTACCGGGATCATGCAGAACGGCGACAAAATCCTGGAAATCTCGCGGAAGGAGCTGTGGAAGGAGGGAATTCTCGCTGACGATTTTGACGTCGAGTACGTTGCATTCTTGTTAACACGATGCCGTGGCTAAACTTAAGCCGTGAAGCGCTTTACCGATAATTTGAGAAAACGAAGAAATAAAAATCGCGAAAACCGGCTAGGAAAGTTCGTAATCGACAGATGCGTGATGCGGTAATATAGGGAAATTATGTGGCTTCAAGACAGAATGAACTGAAAGGGACATTCGAGTAGGCGGTATTTGGAGTGCAGCGTACTTGTCCACACCCAGTCGACGTCGAGGGTTGATTCTAGCATTTTCTGCCCATTTAAAGGGGCTAGAAAGTCCCGGAATCGACCCCCTATATCGGTTAGGTGTCGACAGATACGGTAAGAAGCAAAAGATGGATTTAAACTAGCTCCCAAGTGTCAAAAAGGAAGGATAAAAAGAAAATCAGGACGTCTTTTGGGGTATTGCGTACTTGTTGACGACTAGTGAAAAGAAGTAGTTGATCTTAAACGTCACAATCCATAAAAATTAAAACTTTCAGAATCATCACGGCGATGGGCTGTGGCGAGGCGTTCGAGGGCGTGGCCGTCGGTGCGGATATGTACCACGCGCAGGGTGTGCGCGCGTTTATAGGACCCTACTGTAATGCTGGTAAGAATGCATATTTATTATATTGGTGTTGTATTCATATGTAATTTTTTGATCAATAACGTAGGCCATTTTTCTAGAGCTTGATGCGGTGGCAAAGATGGCCACATTTTGGAACATCCCGATTGTCGGCTATATGGCGTCGTCGAATCAGTTTGTGGATAAAGTGTGTTCTCAATTTTGGGTTATCAAATTTCACGTTTTTTATACTTTATTTTCAACTTTTGAAAGGGGCACTAACAGTAAAAAAATCACTAAACAATTCCAACAAAATCCTCTAGACGATCTACAAAACACTGGCCCGAGTATCGCTACGTACTACGAATTCACTGGCAGAGGCAGTATCAGCAACCCTCAAGCATTATGGATGGTCAAAGGTATCGTTCTCGAATTTCGTTCGTTTCTAAAACCTGCCCCTCCTACCGTACCCCCTAGGTGGCGATCGTGACGAACACCGGGGCGCTCGCCTTCGACCGTGTCGGCGGCTTTGAAGAGGTTTTCCACAAACGATCCGTGCAAGTTGTAAAGAAGGTGGGCAACTAGCAGAGATTATTGGGGAATTTTCAAAGGAATGGCTTGTTAGAAAGTGCTGATTTAATTTAAAGTTTTTAAATAGTTAATTTAACCATTGTTTTAGATAATTTTCGACGAATCGAGCACGGCAAAATCGATGGTCGAATCGGGGCTGCTGAACGAACTGTCGAATTTTGCGAGAAGTACCGTATATTTTGATATTTTCCGTTTTCTAATACAATAATAGTATTTTCGCGGAGTATGGTTAGAATATGGTATTTATTGTACGCTAGAAAACGTTTTTTTACAACCAGAATTTCCAGTCGTAATCTGTATGTTCTCGTCAACGCGCGAGTTGTCTCGCGAATTTATGCAGGCGACGATCATGTCGGGGATGAACACCCACGACTATGTCTACATTTTGCCGTGGCTGCAGGTATTTTTCATTAAATTTAATGAAACCTAAAAGGAAGAATCTGAAATTCTACAAATCTATAAAAGTTGGCGAATGCAATATTTTTGTTTTGATAAATTATTCGGCTGCTTTCATTGTTTAACTTGGAATTTAAGAAATTCTAGAGCGAATCGAAGGACGCGTCGCCCTGGATTGGTGCCGACGGGCAAATGCTCCAGAATATCAAGGATCACTATGCAAATGCATTGATTGTGTGTGAATTCAGGCTATCTCTCTCTCTCTCTCTCTCTCTCTCTCTCTTTCTCGCCTCTCTCAAGCGCTCTCTCTTTCTCTCTCGTTCTTTCACTCTCCATTCTCGCGCTCAATATTTTTTACCCTTGCTCTCTCTCTCGCTCTAACACATTTCTCTCAATTTCACGCTCACTCGCTCTGAGGCGTCTCTTTCCTCTCGTTTCTCTCTCACTCGGACTCACCCGCTATCACTCCTATGCTCAATCGCTCTTACTTTCTCACCCTCTTACACACAGTATCTTTCTCACGTTCAATTGTTCGCCCCGTATCTCGCTCTCTTACTCATGCTATGTCGCTCACTCTCGCGTCATCACTTCTATCACTCCATCTCCCCCTCTCTCTCCTCTCTCTCTCTCTCTCCCTCCCCTCCTCCTCTCTCTCTCTCTCTCTCTCTCTCTCTCTATCTCTCCTCTCTTTCCTTTATTCCCTTGCAAATTCAGGTAGACGACGTCAATGGCTTCGACGACACGATGGTGACTCCCTTCAAAGAAAGAGTCGAGAGCAACGGCATGACAACTGACGACCTCGAGATGGTATTTTTATGCCTTAATTTCCGGATCTAATAGCAAAAACTGTCTCAGTGTCATGAGTCTCACTCAGAAGAAAATAGACATTTTATCAAGCTGATTTCAGAAAAACATCTACGCATACATCCACCTGTACGACGCGCTAAAGCTGTACGCCAGCGCCGCCAGGGCAGCCATCAATGAGACTGATGTTGGAAGATTTAAATATAACTTAGGTTTAAATTTAGGACCCGAAGGTGGTGCTCGATGGGAAGAGACTGTGGAATAAGATGAGGCGGATGACGTTTCCTGGTTTGTTCGACTCTTTTTCGCAAAAA